TCCTGTTTTTTTTTTGGGAAAAAAAGGGATTTTCCTGTTTTTGCTGAGTTTTTTTTCTGGGAAAAAAATGAGATTCTACTGTTTTGCAGCATTTTTTTCTGGAAAAATGAGAATTTCCCAGGTTTTCCTGTTTTTTTTCCAGGGAAGATGGGAATTTTCCTATTTTTCCTCTTTTTTTCCCAAGAAAAATGGGAGTTTTCCTGTTTTTTCCTGGGGAAAATGGGAATTTTTGCTTTTTTCCTGTTTTTTTTCCCTGGAAAAATGGGAATTTTTCTGTTTCTTCCGGTTTTTTTCCAGGAAAACAGGACATTTTCCCTTTTTTCCTGTTTTTTCCCCTGGGAAAACCGGGAATTTTACTGTTCTTCCTGGTTTTCCCCAGAAAAAAAAAATGGGGAATTTCCTGCTTTTCTGGGTTTTTCTCCTGTTTTTTTTCTGGGAAAATTAGGAATTTTCCCGGTTTTCTGAATTTTTTTTCTGGAAAAATGGGATTCTTTCTGTTTTCCCTGGTTTTTTCCTGTTTTTTCCCCCAGGAGAAATGGGAATTTTCCTGTTTTTCCCGAGGAAAAATGAGAATTTTCCTGTTCTTTGTTTGTTTTCCTGGTTTTTTTTTCCCAAGAAAAATAGGAATTCTACATTTTTTCCTTGGAAAAATGGATATTTTCCTGTTTTTCCTCAGTAAAAATGGGAGTTTTCCAGTTTTTCCTGTTTCTTTCTGGGAAGAAAAGGGAATTTTCTTGTTTTTCCTCTTTTTTTTCCGGGGGAAAAGGTGAATTTTCACTTTTTTTCCCTGGAAAAATGGGAATTTTCCTGTTTTTCCTGTTTTTTTCCTGGGAATAATGAGAATTTCCCTATTCTCCCCGTTTTTTTCTGGGAATTTTCCCCATCTCCCCATTTTTTTCCAAGAAAACCAGGAATTTTCCCATTATCTCCATTTTTTCCCCAGAATTTTCCCATTTTTGCTGCTTTTTGTCCAGGGGAAAAACGGGAATTTTCTTCTTCTCTCCATTTTTTTTCCAGGAATTTTCCCATTATCTCCATTTTCCCCGAGTTTTTCCAGGAAAAAAGGGGAAAATCCTGGGAATTCTCAGCTCCTGCTGCGATCCCGAGGGATTTCAGGGATTTTTTGGGGTTTTTTGGGGATTTTTTGGGGTTTTTTTGGGGGATTTTTGGGGATTTTTTTGGACTTTTTTGGCTTTTTTTTTTTTTTGATTTTTTTTGGTTTTTTTGGGGATTTTTGGGATTTTCTTGGGATTTTCTTGGGTTTTTTACAATTTTTTAAATGATTTTTGGGTTTTTTTTTGAGATTTTTTGGGGATTTTTGAAATTTTTGGGATTTTTTTTTTGATTTTTGAAATTTTTGGGATTTTTTGGGGATTTTGGGGGGGTTTTGGGATTTTTTTTATGTTTTGGAGATTTTTGGGGATTTTGGGGTTTTTTTTTTTTGAGATTTTCTGGGGATTTTTGAAATTTTTGGAATTTTTTTTTTTCTGAAATTTTTTGGATTTTATTGGGAATTTTTTGGGTTTTTTGCAATTTTTTGAGGAATTTTTGAGGGATTTTTTGAGATTTTTTTGGGATTTTTTAAATTTTTGGGATTTTTTAGATTTTTTAAATTTTTGGGATTTTATTAGGATTTTTTGGGGTATTTTTTGGATTTTATTGGGATTTTTTGGTTTTTTTGTGATTTTTTGAGGGATTTTTTGAGATTTTTTGGGGATTTTTGAAATTTTTGGGATTTTTTTTGATTTTTGAAACATTTGGGATTTTATTGGGATTTTCTGGGGGATTTTTGGGATTTTCTTGGGTTTTATACAATTTTTTAAATGATTTTTGGGGGTTTTTTGAGATTTTTTGGGGATTTTTTAAATTTTTGGGATTTTTTTTGATTTTTGAAATTTTTGGGATTTTCTTGGGAATTTTTGGGGGATTTTTTGGATTTTATTGGGATTTTTTGGGTTTTTTGCGATTTTTTGAGCGATTTTTTGAGGGATTTTTTTGAGGGATTTTTTGAGATTTTTTGGGGATTTTTGAAATTTTTGGGATTTTTTTTGATTTTTGGGGGTTTGGGGATTTTTTTTAAGTTTTGGAGATTTTTGGGGGTTTTTTTTGAGATTTTCTGGGGATTTTTGAAATTTTTGTAATTTTTTTTTGATTTTTGAAATTTTTTGGATTTTATTGGGATTTTTTTGGTTTTTTGCGATTTTTTGAGGGATTTCTGGGGATTTTTTGAGATTTTTTGGGGATTTTTGAAATTTTTGGGATTTTCTTGGGATTTTTTGGGGGACTTTTGGGATTTTATTGGGATTTTTTGGGTTTTTTGCGATTTTTTGCGGGATTTTTGGGGATTTTTTGAGATTTTTTTTTATTTTTGAAATTTTTGGGATTTTATTGGGATTTTTTGGGTTTTTTGCGATTTTTTGCGGGATTTTTGGGGATTTTTTGAGATTTTTTTTTATTTTTGAAATTTTTGGGATTTTCTTGGGATTTTTTGGGGGATTTTTGGGATTTTTTGGGGATTTTTGGGGGTTTTGGGCATTTTTTTGGATTTTTTGGAGATTTTTGGGATTTTTTTGGGATTTGGGGGCTCGGAAATTCCGTGGAATTTTGGGAATTGGGGACTCACATTTTCCTCTTGACGCCCAGGATGCGATTGGATTGAACCAGGGAGATCAGGAACTGGATCAGCTGCCGGAAAAACAGCGGGAATGGGAATGAACACCCGGAATAAACACCGGGAATGGGAATGAACACCCGGAATAAACACCAGGAATAAACACCGGGAATGGGAATGAACACCCGGAATAAACACCGGGAATGGGAATAAACACCAGGAATAAACACCGGGAATGGGAATAAACACCCGGAATGAACACCCGGAATGGGAATAAACACCCAGAATAAACACCGGGAATGGGAATGAACACCCGGAATGAACACCCGGAATAAACAGCGGGAATGGGAATGAACACCCGGAATGAACACCCGGAATGGGAATGAACACCCGGAATAAACACCGGGAATGGGAATGAACACCCGGAATAAACACCAGGAATAAACACCGGGAATGGGAATGAACACCCGGAATAAACACCGGGAATAAACAGTGGGAATGGGAATGAACACCCGGAATAAACACCGGGAATGGGAATAAACACCAGGAATAAACACCGGGAATGGGAATAAACACCCGGAATGAACACCCGGAATGGGAATAAACACCCAGAATAAACACCGGGAATGGGAATGAACACCCGGAATGAACACCCGGAATAAACAGCGGGAATGGGAATGAACACCCGGAATGAACACCCGGAATGGGAATGAACACCCGGAATAAACACCGGGAATGGGAATGAACACCCGGAATAAACACCAGGAATAAACACTGGGAATGGGAATGAACACCCGGAATAAACACCGGGAATAAACAGCAGGAATGGGAATGAACACCCGGAATAAACACCCGGAATAAACACCGGGAATGGGAATGAACACCCGGAATAAACACCGGGAATAAACAGCGGGAATGGGAATGAACACCCGGAATAAACACCAGGAATAAACACCGGGAATGGGAATGAACACCCGGAATAAACACCGGGAATAAACAGCGGGAATGGGAATGAACACCCAGAATAAACACCGGGAATGGGAATGAACTCCGGGAATGGGAATGAACAGCAGGAAGGGGAACAAACAACAGGAATGGGAATGAAGAACGAGAAATACTGGGAATGAACACCCGGAATAAACACCAGGAATGGGAATGAACAATGGGAAATACTGGGAACGAACTCTGGGAATAAACAGCGGGAATGAACTCTGGGAATGAACTCCAGGAATGGGAACAGAAAGCGGGAATGAACAGCGGGAATGGGAATAAACTCTGGGAATGAACTCTGGGAACGGGAATGAACACCGGGAATAAACACCGGGAATGGGAACGAACAACGGGAATGAACAGCAGGAATGGGAATGAACACCGGGAATGGAAATAAACACCTGGAATAAACAATGGAAATGGGAATGAACAACAGAAAATAATGGGAGTGAACAAACATTGGGAATAAATACTGGGAATGAACAGCGGGAATGGGAATGAACACCGGGAATGGGAATGAACAACAACGGGAATGGGAATAAACGCCAGGAATAAACAGTGGGAATGGGAATGGACAGCAGGAATGAGAATAAACATCGGGAATAAACACTGGGAATAAACTCCAGGAATAAATACTGGGAATAAAAGCGGGAATGAGAATAAACACTGGGAATGGGAATGAATTCCAGGAATGGGAATAAACACTGGGAATGAACAGCAGGGGGGAAAATGGGCGGGGGAACTGGGGAGAAAATGGGAAAAAAGGGGGAAAAACTGGAAAAAAAGTGGGAAATGAGCAGGGAAAAATGGGGAAAATGGAGAAAAAAACCTGAAAAAATGGGGAGAAATGGGAGAAAAAGGGGAAAAACTGGGAAAACTGGGAAAAAAAGTGGGAAAAACTGGGGAAACTGGGAAAAAAAGTGGGAAAAACTGGGGAAACACGGGGAAAAAAGGGGAAAACCTGGGGAGAAACCAGGGGAAAATGGGAAAAACCAGGGAGAAATGGGAAAAAAAGGAAAAAAAGGGGGGAGAATGGGAAAAACTGGGAAAAATGGGAAAAAAGGGGGGAAAAAACAGGAAAAAACTTGGAAAAAATGGGGAGAAAATGGGAAAAAATTGGGGGGAAAACTGGGGAAAACAGGAAAAAATGAGGAGAAATGGGAGAAAACGGGAAAAACTGGGGGAAACCCGAGAAAAAACTGGGAAAAATTGGGAAAAAGGGGGAGAAAATAGGGAAAAATGGGAAAAAAGTGCAACAAAATGGAAAAAAAAGGGGAAAAAAACGGAAAAATTGTGGAAAAATGGGAAAAACTGGGAATTACCCTGAAAAAGTAGGAATTCCCCCCCAAAAATGGGAATTTCCCCAGAAAAGCGGGAATTGCATCTGGAAAACTGTGAATTTCCTTGGAAAAGTGGGAATTAACCCCAGAAAATTGGGAATTTGCCCCCCAAAAATGGGAATTTCCCCAGAAAATTGGGAATTGCCTCCGGAAAAGCGAGAATTAAAGCAAAAAAATCGGGAATTACCCCCCAAAAAGTGAGAAGTTGTCCCAGAAAAGTGGGAATTCCCTTGGAAAAGCAAGAATTTCTTGCGGGAAAGCGGGAATGACCCCTGGAAAAGCGGGAATGAAGGAAAAAAAGTGGGAATTACCCCCAAAAAAGCGGGAATTTGTCCCAGGAAAGTGGAAATTTCTCCCAGAAAAGTGTGAGTTCCCCCCCAAAAACCAGGAATTTCCCCAGAAAATCGAGAACTGCCTCTGGAAAAGTGGGAATTGCCCCGAAAAAGCAGAAATTGCCTTGGAAAAGTGGGAATTCCTTGTGGAAAAGTGGGAATTACCCCCAAAAAAGTGGGAATTACCCCCAAAAAAAGTGGGAATCTCTCCCAGAAAACTGGGAGTTCCCTTGGAAAAATGGGAGTTTCTCCCAGAAAAGCGGGAATTCCCCCCAGAAAAGCAGGAATTTCTTGCGGGAAAGCGGGAATGGCCTCTGGAAAAGTGGGAATTACCTTGTTGACGACCTTCTGCTGCTGGGCGTGCTTCTGGCGCAGGCCGGCGACCTCCCGCCACAGAGCCTCGTTCTCACTGCAACAGGCACCGGAATTCCGGGAAAAAACGGGAAAGAAACCGGGAAAAACGGGAAAATTAACCAGGGAATGGCTAAAATTCCATGGGAAATGGGGAAAAATAACCAGGAAATGGGGAAAATTCAATGGAAAATGGGGAGAATTCCAATGGAAGTGGGGAGAATTCCAAAGGAACTGGGTGTAAGTTCCATGGGGAAGGGGGAAAGTTCCATGGGAAACAAATTCCATTGGAAATGGGGAAAAATTCCATGGGAAATGGGGAAAATTCCAAGGGAAACGGGGAAATCCCATATTCAGGAATGTCCCAAGTCAGAATTCCCTGAATTCCAGAACATCCCAAACCCTCCAGAATCCCTGGAATGGGATCGGGTTTGGGATGTGGGCCCCGCCCCCCCCATTCCCAATCCCAAATCCCAAACTTCTCCATCCCAAAATATCCCAAAAATTCTCCCAAAAATCCCAAATCCCCTCATCCCAAATTCCCAATCCCTGCATCCCAAATCCCAAATTCCTCCATCCCAAATTCCCAATCCCTGCATCCCAAATCCCAAATTCCTCCATCCCAAATTCCCAATCCCTGCATCCTAAATCCCAAATCCCCTCATCCCAAATTCCCAATCCCTGCATCCCAAATTCCTCCATCCCAAATTCCCAATCCCTGCATCCCAAATCCCAAATTCCTCCATCCCAAATTCCCAATCCCTGCATCCCAAATCCCAAATCCCTCCATCCCAAATTCCCAGTCCCTGCATCCTAAATCCCAAATTCCTCCATCCCAAATTCCCAATCCCTGCATCCCAAATCCCAAATTCCTCCATCCCAAATTCCCAATCCCTGCATCCTAAATCCCAAATTCCTCCATCCCTAATTCCCAATCCCTGCATCCCAAACTTCTCTGTCCCAAATCCCCAATCCCAAATTCCAAATCCCGAACTTCTCCATCCCAAAATACCCCAAAAATCCTCCCAAAAATCCCAAATCCCCGAATCCCAAATTCCCAATCCCTGCATCCTAAATCCCAAATGCCTCCAGCCCAAATCTTCACCCCAAATCCCAAATCCCCGATTCCTGAATCCCAAATCCTTCTATCCCGAATCCCTCCTTCCCTGCATCCCAAACTTCTCCATCCCAAAACATCCCAAAAATCCTCCCCAAAATCCCAAATCCCTGAATCCCCCCATCCCTGCATCCCAACTTCTGTCCCAAATCCCCGATCCCAAATTCCCAATCCCTGCATCTCAAATCCCCTCGTCCCAAATTCCTCCATCCCAAATTCCCAATTCCCAAATCCCCTCATCCCAAATTCCCAAATCCCAACCCCCTCAACCCAAATCCTCTCATCCCAAATCCCCAAACCCCCAAATCCCAAATTCCCGAATCCCAACCCCGCTCCGATCTCTCTCATCCCCCCAACCCCCCCCCCTCAATTCCACCAAATCCCGAGCGCAAATTCCCGCTTTTCCCGACTCCCCCCGAAATCCCCGACCCTTTGAGGATGAACCCCTCGATCCCAGCCCAGAATTCCCGACAAAAATTCCCGATGTTCCGCGTTTTTCCCGGGTTTTTTGCCCCGTACTGTTTCATGGCGAGCAACCGCGAGTCGAGGCTGTCCTGCTTCCCTCTCATGGCCTGCATGTCGGCCAGGAGCCGCGCCACGCTGTCCTGCCGCACCCGAACCTCCTCTCCCTTCAGCCCAGAAACCTGGAAAAACGGGAAAAATGGGAATCTGCAAGGCTGGGAAACCCCGGGAATTTTTAGGAATTTTTTGGGAATTCTTTGGGATTTTATTCGGGGTTTTTTCGGGGCGTTTTTAAGGCTTTTTTCATGATTTTCAGGCCGTTTTTTGAGTGGTTTGTGGCACTTTCAGGCATTTTTTTGGGGAATTTTGGGAATTTTTTTAGGTTTTTATGGAATTCTTTTGGATTTGGATGAAAGTTTAGGAAAGTTTAAAGAGGATTTTTTGGGATCTGTTTGGGATTTTTGGGGGGGTTTTTTGGGGAATTTTAAAGGTTTTTCTTGGGATTTCCCGGCCGTTTTTCAAGGAGTTTGGGCGGTTCTAGGGCATTTTTGGGAATTTTTGAGAATTTCCTTTGGCTTTTATGGAATTGTTTTGGATTTGGATGGAAGCCTAGGAAGGGTTAAAGGGGATTTTTGGGATTTGTTGGGATCGGTTTGGGATTTTTGGGGGCTTTTTTGGGGCGCTTTAAATGTTTTCTTTGGATTTTTGGCCGTTTTTCGAGGACTTTTGGTGGTTTCAGGGCATTTTTGGGAATTCTTGGGAATTTCCTTTGGCTTTTATGGAATTGTTTTGGATTTGGATGGAGTTTGAGGAAGATTTAAAGGGGATTTTTTGGGATCTGTTTGGGATTTGTGGGGGCTTTTTTATGGTGTTTTTAAGGGATTTTTTTATGATTATCAGGGCGTTTTTTGAGCAGTTTGAGGACTTTTTTTGGGAATTTTTGGGAATATCTTTTGGTTTTTATGGAATTGGATTGGATTTTGATGGATTTTGTGAAAAATTGGAGGGAGAATTACGGACTCTGGTTTTTTCAGGGCATTTTTAAAGCTTCCTTTGGGATTTTCCGGCCGTTTTTCCAAGGGTTTGGGGCATTTTTGGGAATTTTTGGGGTAATTTGGGACTTTTTTCTGGCATTTTGGAGATTTTTGATGGATTTTTGGGGATTTTTTTAGAATTTCAGACTGGATCCTGGGATTTTTAACAGATGCCAGAAGGTTTTTGGGGTGAATCCCAGGAATTTTTAACGGATCCCGGGATTTTCACCAGATCCCAGCTGTTTTTCCTGACCCAGATCCCGGGATTTTTAACAGATCCCTGGATTTTTAATGGATCCCAACTGGGTTTTGGGGTGGATCCTGGGATTTTTTCCACCTCCCAACCGGAATTCTGGGATTTTTCCCTTTTCCCGACAAGAATCCCGGGATTTTTCCCATCTCCAGACCAGAATCCCGGGATTTTTCCCATCCCCAGCCCAGAATTCCGGGATTTTTCCCTTTTTCCAGCCGGAATCCCTGGATTTTTCCCCTTTTCCAGCCCAGATTCCTGGGATTTTTCCCTTTTCCCGCCCAGAATCCCGAGATTTTTCCGGGATCCCGCAGTTTATTTTTCCCGGGAACGTGCTGCCTCACTCACGCTGGTCACTTTGCGTTTGATGTTCTCCAGGAGCTGCTCCTGACCCCGCAGGAAAAAGGGATGTTGGAATTCCGTGTCGTCCCGCTCCGGCTTCACCAGCCCGCCCTGCTCCAGGTGCACAACCTTCCGGAATCCGTCTGGAAAAACGGGAATGGGGCGAGAAAAAAATCAGGAATTTTTTGGGAATTTTAAAAATTTTTTTAGATTTTTTTTTTAATTTTTTTAAAATTTTTTTGGAATTTTTATTGATTTTTTGTGGTGCTTTTATTTTATTTTTTTGTGGATTTTTGGGAATTTTATGGAATTTTTTTGTGGATTTTTAGGAATTTTTTTCCATTTTTTGGTGATTTTTTTTTGCGGCTTTTTAGGATTCTTTTGGATTTTTTTAGGACTTTTGGAAGATTTTTTGCATTTTTCTCAGATTTTTTTGTGGATTTTTAAGAACTTTTTGGAATTTTTTAGGATTTTTTGTGGATTTTTGGGAATTTTTTTGCATTTTTTGTGGATTTTTAGGAATTTTTTTGGAAATTTTTAGGAATTTTTTGTGGATTTTTGGGAATTCTTTTTGGATTTTTTTTTTTTAATTTCTTTGTGAATTTTTGTGGATTTTTCGTAAATTTTTTTCAGGATTTTGTATGAATTTTCAGAAATTTTTTGGAAATTTTTAGGATTTTTTTGTGGATTTTTGGGAATTTGTTTTTGCATTTTTTTGTGGATTTTTTGGAATTTCTTGGGGGTTTTTTTAGGATTTTTTGTGGATTTTTGTGAGTTTTTTATTTTTTTTTTAGATTTTTTTGGGATGAGTTTATTGTATTTTTTGATTTGGGGAGATTTTGTTGGTATTTCTGGGAATTTGGGGGTTCAGGAGAAGGAAATCTTGGAAAAATGGGAAAAAACCTGGGAGAAACAGGAAAAAAGTCCTAGAAAAAAAAAAGATAAAGCTTGGAAAAAGTAAGAAAAACGCTAGGAAAATGGGAAAAAAGAATCCTGGAATAATGAGAAAAAATGCTGTAAAAGCAGAAAAATAATTCTGGAAAAATAGGGGGAAAACCTTGGAAAAATGGGGGGAAAAAATCATGGAAAAATGGGAAAAAAAAAACCCAGGAAAAATGGGAAAAACATCCTGAAAAAAATGGGGAAATATTTGAGAGAAACAGGAAAAACATTCTGGAAAAATGGGAAGCAAAATGCTGGAAAAGTGGAAAAAATACTCTGGAAAAATTGGGAAAGTCTGGGAAAAACATCCTGGAAAAATGGGAGGAAAATGGGAGGAAAAATGGGGAAAAAAAGAATGGAAATAGGAGGGAAAAAACCAAGAAAAATGGGGAAAAAATCCGGGAATTTTGGGATTCCAGCTCCCATCCTGAAATTCCCGTGTGGGAGGGGGGATCCACCCAGAATTCCCGGGAATGCTGAAATTCCGTGTCGTCCCGCTCCGGCTTCACCAGCCCGCCCTGCTCCAGGTGCACAACCTTCCGGAATCCGTCTGGAAAAACGGGAATGGGGCGAGAAAAAATCAGGAATTTTTTGGGAACTTTATGGGAATTTTTTGGTATTTGTTTAGAATTTTTTGTGGATTTTTTTTAGGATTTTTTTGTGGATTTTTTGGAATTTTTGGGGGTTTTTTTTGTAGGATTTGTGGATTTTTGGGAATTTTTTTTTGTTTTACGATTTTTTGGTGGATTTTTTGGGGTTTTTTTTATAATTTTTTGTGGATTTTGGGGAATTTTTCATGGAATTTTTTTAAGAATTTTTGGGAATTTTTTGGATTTTTTTAGGAATTTTTTAAGAATTTTTGGGAATTTTTTGGATTTTTTTAGGAATTTTTTTGGGGTGATTTTGTTCTGTTTTCTGTTTTTGGAGAGACTTTGTTGATGTTTTTGGGAATTTGGGAGTTCAGGAGAAGGAAATCTTGGAAAAATGGGAAAAAGTCCTGGAAAATTGGGGAAAAAAATCCTGGAAAAAGAGGGGGGGGAAAGGCTGGAAAAATAGAAAAAAAAATCCTGGGAAAATGGGAATAAAAAATCCTGGAAAAAAGGGTAAAAAATAATGGAAAACTGGAAAAAAATTCAGGAAAAGTGAAAAAATCTGGTAAAATTGGGAAAAAAATGTGAAAAAATTGCAGGAAAAGTGCTGGGAAAAAAGGGGGAAAATCTGGGATAAATGGGAAAAAAAAGTCATGGGAAAAGTAGGAAAAAAATGGGGAAAAGGGGAAAAAATCCTGAAAAAATGGGAGAGAAAATGCTGGAAAGATGGGAAAACAAATCCAGGAAAACAGGAAAAAATTCTGGAAAAATGGGAAAAAAATCCCACAAAATAGGAAAAAAATTCTGGAAAAATGGGAAAAAGTTTCCTAAAAAATAGGAAAATAAATTCGGGAAAAAATGCAGAAGAACACAGAAAAACACTGGGAAAAAGGGAAAAATACTGGAAAATGGGAAAAAAAATCCATGGAAATGGGGAAAAAATCTAGAAATAATGGAAATAAAAATCCTGGAAAAACAGGGGAAAAAATCCAGGAAAAACAGAGAAAAAATCCCAGAAAAATTGGGAAAAAAAAATCCAGGAAAATGGGAAAAAATTCTGGAAAAATAGAAAAAAAAATTTCTAGAAAGCGGGAAAAAAAATCCCATAAAGTATGGAAAAAGTCCTGGGAAAACAAGGGAAAATCCAGCAAAATGGGAAAAAATCCTAAAAAATAGGGAAAAATCCAGGATAATGGGAAAAAATGTTGGAAAATGGGAAAAAAAAACCTGGAAAAGCAGGGAAAAATCCAGGAAAATGGGAAGAAAATGGAAAAATGGAAAAAAATGCTGGAAAAACAAAGAAAAAATCCAGGAAAATGGGGAAAATCCCAAAAAATAGTGGAAAAATCCAGGCTAATGGGAAAAAAATGCTGGAAAACGGGAAAATATCCAAGAAAATGGGAAAAAACTTTCGAAAAATGGTTGAAAATCCAGAAAAATTTGGAAAAAATCTTGGAAAAATGGGAAAAAATCCTGAAAATGGAGAAAAAAACCCTAAAAAATAAGGAAAAAATCCTGGAAAATGGAGCAGAAATCCCCCAAAAAGGGGAAAAATCATGGAAAATGGGAAAAAATCCTGGAAAAGCAGGCAAAAATACAGGAAAAATCAGAAAAATTCCTGAAAAAACAGGGAAAAATGAAAGAAAACAGGAAAAAAACCCTAAAAACAGGGAAAAAAGTTCTGGAAAAGGGAAAAAATCCAGGAAAATGGGAAAAAAATCCTGGAAAAACCTGGAAATTTGGGGATTTCCACTCCCAGGCACAGCTCCCATCCCAGAAAAAATCCTGGAATTCCCAGGATCCCTCCCCCCGCTCAGTTCCACCCCCTGGCATTCCCAGAATTCCCGGGATTTTGAGACGGAATTCCCAGGATTTCAGGATGGAATTCCCAGAGAACCTCAGAATTCCCAGTCTGGATAGAATTCCCAGGATTTTGAGATGGAATTCCCAGAGAATCTCAGAATTCCCGGAATTCCTGGGATCCCTCCCCCCCTACATTCCCAGAATCCCCAGGACTTTGCAATGGAATTCCCAATTTGGATGGAATTTCCAGGATTTTGAGACGGAATTCCTGGAGAATCTCAGAATTCCCAGTTCGGAACCCCTCGGAATTTTGGGACGGAATTTGGTTGGAATTCCCAAGATTTCGAGACGGAATTCCCGGAGAATCTCAGAATTCCTGGAATTCCCAGGATCCCTCCCCCCGGCATTCCCAGAATTCCTGGGATTTGGGGATGGAATTCCCGGAGAATCTCACAATTCCCAGTTTGGATGGAATTCCCAGGATTTTGAGACGGAATTCCCGGAGAATCTCAGAATTCCCGGGATCCCTCCCCTCCCCAGCATTCCCGGGATTCCGGGAATTCCCGGGATTCACTCACACATGTTGAGCTGCCGGACGAAGCTGGCCATGTTGTTGTGTTTGAAATATTTGGGAAGAACTTCCTTGGAAAACTGACCCTGGTCGAAGACGTGGAAGCTGCTCCCGCTCTGCAGGGGGGGAAAAAAAACGGGAAAATCGGGATCAGATTCCTGGGAAAGGTCGGAATTCCGGGTGGATCCCGGTTTGAGACGAGAATTCGGGAGATTGAAAGGATTTGGGGGATTTTTGGGGATTTTTTTCTGATTTTTTGGGGGTTTTTAGGGAATTTTTGGGAATTTTTTGGGGTTTTGGAGGATTTTTTTGGGGATATTTTGGGATTTTT